GTTTTCCTTTTTGTCATTTATTTTCAGCCAATAATTCAATTTTCCCTTTTTTAGATGATTTATGAAAATGTAGTGCTTTCAGAAAAGTGTGGTGGTTTAAATAAGTTATAATAAAAATTGCAGTTTTTAAGTGGGCAACATCCACAACTAATCAAGCTTCTTTCTGTTGTTTTTACCTAAGGGCAGTCCAAATATTGACGCGCTCATGCTTGAAAAAGAAAAATGCGGGAGAGTTAGAGAGCAAAGCATGAAAACAATTATGTAAGGAGCAGTCTAATCTCACAATCCTGATGCAAGACGATAATATGTTGACAGAGAGCATGAGAGAACTTCTTCAGTTCCTTCTCAGCATTCTTGTCCTGCTTTTTTTGCCTTCAGTCTGCATCGCCCCAGATTCTTGCTCTCCTTTTCCCTTCAACCTTACATGAAGTTCATTCCACTCTGCTAATTTCCCACCCACCATCTTTTGCTTTCGCTCTCATTCTCACTCTTCGTCTTCTCCACCGATGTCGCGGTAGCTGTTATGTCACTGTGTTTCACTTACCAGGGGACCCCCATTAATTACCAGGTGGGCCAAATCATAAATCTTGAATATGGTGACAGAGAGAGCTGATGAAGAGCGACATTTGATTGTGGGACCAGCTTGCAAATTAGTGAGCCATTCAGTCAGTCTTCCCAAAAAGCAGTTTATTGTTTAGTAAGTCAAAAAGTCATTAAGGTTTAAGAGTGAATGGTAGAAAATGTTTTATTTTGTGTTTAGCCAGGCTGGCTATGATTTCAACATCTGATAGTTAACTAGATATTTAAACCACCAATGCTGTTGTGTTAAACATTTATTCAGTAAATAATCTAATTCACAAATGCAATATGTTTCACAATACCATTCTATGTAAAGACCTGGGAAGGAAGCCACTCAGTCTACAAGTGGCACAGCATTTTTTCCTAATTAAGCTTTACAACCTTCTATTGTAGTACAGCCACAAAATAATTAAAGCAACAATAGAACGATAATTTGCATAAATGTTTGCCTCAGTTCTGCTTATTAATTCTGCAGTTAACATATGTGTACATGGATACTCACACAACAATGAATTTAATGTCCTAGTTATGTCATAGAGTACTTATATCTATAACCTGGTGGAAATGTCAAACCCAGTTTTCCCTTTTTCAATGGGGAAAATGGTGTTCCTGTTCTTAAGTCTTTGATGACAAAAGACTATGAATAATGCATTTAAAAATAGTCTCTCAGTGTCACATCATGTTGTAGGATCATGCAGAAAATCACTAACTTAAGCAGAATACCATAAAAACTTATTTATTTATTTATAGCGGGTTCACCCACCATACAGGAAATTTGTTGCACTGGCAGTCAGTCACAGAGCAGTAACCAGCCAAGCATCACCCAGCCATGCAGTCGTCATCCATGTTGCCCGCCTATTACAAGACTCATGCCGCTGCAGCAGCGGCAGCATGAACCCCTGAAGCTGACTGCTTGTGACAGGACCTACATTACATAAGGAAGACGAGGAGACTGTGGAGTCGGTGAGGCATCTCTGATGGATTTGTTTGTTTTCACAACGTCTTTGGTTGAGGATGATTCCGGAGTTTAAGCTGCTCCTCAGCTCATGTCACAGGACATACTATGCAGGGTTATAAATACTACATTGTTTGCTCTGGTTAAAGTCTAATATATATATATATATATATATATATATATATATTAAACCTGACCTGATAATAATAAACTGTAATTAATCATTGATTGAAAAAACTATCTATTACAGTTTCATATTATGTTAGAAACATGTGATTCCAGATTTGAAACTTTTTAATAGATCAAATTTATATTCTGTACAGGCATTCATTAACCACAAGTGCAGGTTAACTCCTGGTCCATTATTTCTAAAAACTTGCAGTAATCTGGTATCTTAATCCCTACCTACAAAGCCAGATGGATGGATGACCTCTAGAGGTAAGTTCCAGCACTGAGGAAAAGTCTTGGGCCATTCCCACTCCTTTCTGAACTACACTGTGACTTTCAGTGCAATGCACCTCAAAGCCCTACCATCTGCTTATAGTAGCTCTCTGCTCAACAGGGCGTCCTCACCACTGCAAACAAGATCTGGTCTGGAGGTGAGTGATGAAAAGAGTAAAGTTACTGCAGACCCTCAACTGCTAAAGAAGGTTTGGCCCACAGCATGTGGAGCTCATGTCTGTAACCTAAATTACTGTACCAACAATTTAGATGACAGCATAAAGCCAAACAGGCAACAATTAAATAAATCAACAAATTGTTACCTAGGCTAAATGTGAAAGTTTACTAAAAGTTGATATTTATTTGACAAAAAAAAAAAAAAAAATCTGTCTTTACCCTTTATCATCTTGTGGTCTTAGCGCAACGCTCAGAAAGAGCATGGAAAATGCCAAGGTTGGACAGAGAGGAAGCGGAGGGGTTCTCCCGTTAGACCGTCAATTACCGAAACAACATAAAGAAATCGTTAAAGCCTGCCAAACCTTACACAGAGTAAGAAACTTGTGGGATCTAAATGACCCTGTGTTTTAAGACCACAGTAGGGTTAAAAGACAAATATATATATTAAATTTTATAATTTAACTCATTTAAAATTGTATCAATATTTTTATTTCATGACTGCATCCTGACGACACACAATGCAGACTGTAGCATGTAAACAAAATAAATAGGCCAAGAATGACATTAAAAACAAGAATGATTCAGTCTAAAAGAAAATATATAATGCATTTAATAAGTCTCCACTTACCTATTTGTTATTCATATTTACCTACTATAAAAACACGACATTCAGGAACGTATTAAAAATATAGCCTATTTCTACACACACACACACACACGTTTGTGTTGCTATCTTTGTGAGGACTTTCCATTGACTTCCATTAATTTCTACAGCCCAAACCTTACCTTTACCCTTTTCCTAACCCTAACCATCACATACCTAACCCTAACCAAAACTCAATTCATACCTTAGCCCTAAATCTGTCTCCTGACCCAAAAACAGGGTTTCCCCTCGTGGGGACCCGGCTCCGGTCCCCACGAGGAGCAATTGGTCCCCACAACGTAGTATATGTCAGGAAAATCATCCCCACAAGGTATTACAAACAAACGCGCGCACACACACACACACACACACACACAACCATATACAAACTTAAAGAAACTACCTTAATTCTCATCTCCATAGAATTGTTTTCCATCTCATTTTTTAAAACTGAAAATAGCTTCAAAAAGATATCAACTCACAGTGTATATTGTGCCAACTAAGATCTTATTAGCTTTGCTACTGTCACATCCTTTGTCTCTCGTATTTTCACTTTATCTAGCCAATCAGACTAAAAATAACCCCATATTAATCTCAGGGGTCATTTAAAAATAGCTGTCTGATTGTTGTGCCGACTAAGGGGTTTGAACTCAGTGCTGAACCAGCACCTATAAAATACCCCTGTCATTTACCTGACAACACCACCTGCTATAGTGTCCATCAGGCATTATCGTTGTAACAGAGGTGACAATAGGGGAACATCCCATCAAGGCTTGAACAAAAAAGGAGATGATGTTCTACAGTATCTTGACAAAAGAATCCAATATAGATTACAGAACAGACACCATTTTCCCACATTTGAACTGCAATCCTCAACTTTTATTTACATTTTTAGTGATAGATCAACACAGTCATAATGTGAAAAGAAGCGTATTGGTTGGTTTCAGAATATCTAATAGCTATAGAATATTTTATCAATATAGATACTACCCTATACTAATTTAGATATTAATAGAAAATATATATCAAAATATCAATTAATACTAGTTTAGATCTAAAGTGTTGTGTGCATTTTTATTCATCCTTGAATATTATTAAGTATTAAGATTTTTAATATTTTGAAATGTAGCTCAGCTCTATTACTACAGAAGAAAACACAACATATTGCATTATTCAGTGGAAATGGAGTTCTTCCACACATTAAGCTTTGCTTGTAGGCTGAAAAGGTTTATCTCTGGAGAAATATTTGTAAGTTTTGTTTGGTTCTTTCATTTCCTTCACTTGTAGAAATTGGAAAAGGCTAAATAAAACTACTCTTGCGAGATTAATACTACCTGGAAAGTTTATTCTATGTCCGTGCCTTCTTTTACAACCATGCACATCATCATTGTTCACCCTTAAAACAATTCTAGAATTACTAAATCTAAATATATATATACATGTAACATAATTATTCCAAGTTTGATTCCTTGCAAAATATTAGTTTTGAATTCAATGCTTCTTTTATCATATTTATTTGAGGCTGATAAAAAAAATAGCAAATGTAAATCAGAGCATGCTGAGCCTCTGACCCAAGGTGACCTGATGTCTCCGTTTTCCCCGTCGCTGGAAATGTCAGTGCAACAGTGTGTGGAAAACAGATTGCAAGGTGAAAAAAAGATACTTTATGTGGCAAGAAAGACAGGTCAGGCTTGTTGACCAACTGCTGTGAAAAACTTGGTCAAAAGGTCGCAGGTACTGAGACCACTTGACAAGCAAACTCCTTTTTGAGTGGGAAACCAAGTGAAGATGAGGAGAGGTTGAAGACTATCATGATGAAAATAAAAAAGGAGATGGAATTGTCATACTGGATCAGATATTTTGACTGCTGGTGCATTCTTGGAAATCTAGGTGATCAGTGAAGCTTTATGTGCTAATAAAGTGTTGAATTAATTTTACAACTACATTCAGTACAAATGAAGACTTCTCAGGAGAACACTAAGTGAAAAGCTACAACTTGCAAATTACAAATGGAAGTAATTATTTTGTCACAGTTTGATACATTTCTATTTCAGTAGGCTTGAAATAATGTCAATATTTCTTAATGAGAAATGAAAAATAATATTTGATGTTGGCTTCTGTTGCCAGCTGCACAACTGCACAGAAAACTGGAACTCAATTTATCAAAATGTCAAGTAAAACAATTAATGACAAGTGAGTACATACCAGCTTCTTGAAGATTTGTCCCTTTTGGTTGTACATTTTAATCATCATCCCTCAGGGATCCAAATTATCTGCCAACAGGGTTGCCTAGAAAGAGAGAAAACATCAGATAAGGTTTGTCTTTGAGTCAATAAAACAAATAATTGCTACAGAAAGCCTTTTGATATATGTTGATGTTGATATATGTTGTTAATAGTTTTTCAAGGAACTGTAGCTACAAACACCGATGGACTTCAGAACTCTGTAAAAAGAGATCTGGGAAAAGTAAAAAGAAAAACAGTTTTGTTAACTTGTTGTAAACCCAATTTTCTGTTTACCTTGAGTGGCTTTAATTGTGCATTTGACTACAAATGTGTTCAGAGTTCACCTATTATATTTGCTTCCTAGGGCCTTGCGGGAAATCAGAGAATGAGCAAAATGACTTCAAGTGTTATTCCCTTTTAGTTCCTCGTGCAAAACATGGATCGACTCCACTTACATAAGAACCGTCCACTCCTAATCATGTCGACTATACATCAGATACTTCAGCACAAACACTCACACATATAATTCCTTCAATGACAAGGTAAAAAGTGTATAACCTGACTATGACTAAGTTATGGAAGATGCATCTGCTCATGTGCATAAGCAGGTGCCATGTATAGTAACCCTATGTGCACTGCATGCTGACCTTGGAGTCTCCCTATGCTGGCACTCAGGATGTGACTCCAAAAATAACTAGTGCCAAACATTGATTACTGCTAGCACACAATGCTGCACAGAGCAGTGTAGAAAAAGGACAGGGACAGAGATATCGGCTTCACAGTTAACAGTTATTTCCCTGTCTCTGTCTGACTGTCTTTCTCTCTCAGGCCTTGCGCTTATTTGCACTTTCCATTACTCGCAGGCATAGCAAATACAATATCGGGCAGTCAGTCTGTTGTACACTATTAGGTTGTTTCAGAACCTCTGTTACTAGTGTTTTTATGTACAGGGGTTGGGATTGTAATATGCAAAAAAATATGATCTTTGTGATCATTAAGCTTTGTTTTGTATTGGCAATTTCATTTTTTATTGAAATAAACAAATTTAGAAGATAAGTATTTCTGCTACTATGAATACAGTTCTTTTAACCTGAACTTGGTAAATATTAGCATAGACTGTGACAAAGAGACCAGGACTCAATTGAAGAATCTCTTGACCTAATTCATCATTATATTATTACTCATCTGCAATCCTCATTTTTTATTTAGGCCCCTACTGGCAGTCTCACCAAAGCCCACTGCAATGTTTACAGACGTGTCCTCCCTAATTTTAGGAATGGAAGCATGGCGGTAATGGAGAGTGACACTATCTAGCCAGCGCTCTTACATGCTGTAGGGCATTTTAAAGCTGTGGCTGCAGCCACCCACATATAAGTTCTGCGACCAACATGTCAGGTTGCTTACAGATGTACCAAAGAAGGCACAGGATCATCAACATATGCAAGCTTTATCCTTGATTCTTGTTAAATTATAAAAAGAAAAACTGATTAAGCTTTTTAGCTGCTGTAGGCATGCTTAATTCTTACAAAATCAGAAAGAATGTACTTTAAGCAGAACTACCACCATTCCAAGAGCAACACAAAGTATCAAAGTTTAACATCTTTCTCCATATTTCTTGAGTTGGAGTAAAGAAAACAAACAATAATCTGCGGTAGAATGTCTGTTTTTAACAATAATCACACAATTACTGATATTCTTTCAAATATTCTTAGAATAAAAGGAACTTAAGCATTTTCAAGTTAGCGCCAATTCACATCAAATATCTCATGACCATTCAAGAAAAAAAAAGAATCATTTCAATTCAATCACACATACATGTCAACTGATACTAGTTATCAAACAGCACAGTAGCTCAGGTTATAATTCAGGTTCTTTCTCCTCAGATTAATGTGATGCTTAGCTGGACTTGTTTACGTCATGACAGCAACAGAATAAGACAAATTGCCCAGACATGCCAAATGCTTGTTAGGTCTAACCTTTGGGAATTTCAGGATCTATATGAAATAAGAGTATTCTCAATATTTCCAGACCCTCAACATGTTTTAAATGCTGAGTTAGGCAGCACTAATGGGCAATAACAGAAAGGCTAATCAAAAGCTTTGGGAGTATTCCCAATGGACTCTAACAGCTGGTTCAGATCAGAAAAAAGGCTGGGGTCCACATTTTTCCCTCTTCCTCTTTGCCCACTCTTTAATCTCCAATGAATACATAGCATGTGCTGATACAGAGAGAAAAGAACTCCACAGGCTTCTTTTTTTGTAAGCTTTACCTTTTCAGTGTAGCTGCTTCAAGCAATCGAAAATAATAAAGTTTAAAACTATTCTAAAAAGCATCAGTGTTATCACTATCCTTCTGAGACAACCAATTACATATTCAGGAACCTCACTGGACTCAGAAAACTGACAGTGAAGCAGATGGAACTGCATAACCCAACTCAAATTGATGGACAGAAATAATCAGAAAAGGCACAGGAAAGAGTGTTTGCTGCAGCAAATTAGCCGGACACTGAATGTTTCTGGTGAGTGTTGAGCAGTCATCTTCATAAAAGTTGTGAGGTTATTTCTTGAGGTGTTATGATGAAGAGCTGTGAAAAGAAAAAAATTCTAGCACTCCATGAGTTTTTCCTGTCAGCAAGATACTCGAGTTAGAGGTATCGCCTTCTTTGAATTCGGTATCTTCATGTTTTACTTTCCATATTTGTGACTGCATGCTGTGTTTTTACATTTTTCTTAATGAAGTATGCAGTAGTATAAGATCCATGTATTGTCCAAAAAGCTCTTATACAAAACAAATGATCAAGCTGCTTGAATGAAAATATAGACTATTATTTAAGGGAACCAACAGGCACAAAAGTAACAATAGAAAAGGAAATAAAAAGGAATAACTACAGAGCCGACATGACGTCAACAGACTTCTAAACAAAATATTTGCTATTATAATCTTATAATTTTCTTTGAATATTGTTCCAAGCTGAAAAATAATACAGTTTTTAAAATATACCTTCCATTGTTTATCCAATATATATTCAAGCAGCAGAGTTCTATTAAAATAATATGAGTGAAAACTGAACCTAAATACTTAGTTTTCATATAGCTTTAAACAAGTTATGCCATTATTCCAGTTTTGAAAATATGCCAAAACTGATATATTTTCACTTTCCAATTCTGATACCTGAATTATTCTTGAGTTTTTGGGTGATGCTAACCAAATGGAGATAAAACACAACATTTCATACCATGAAGATGAAATACAACATTATCAGATATGAAAAACGGGAATAATGTCTCCAGACAACGAAATATTTCTAAGCTAAATTACATGTGAGATAGAAACTTTTTATGATCATTTATCTATGAAATTCACAATAAAGCTTATCTGCAAAAAATAAACTGATTTGTGTGTTATGCTTTAAGTGCACGGGTATGAAATAGTTTTTTTACACATATGAAAATGAAGAATTAGGAGCAGACAACAGATAATGTGTGTGTACAAGATGGGGGCAATAGAGAAGGGTTGAATTTTCTCAAAGCCTTTCTGAGTCACAACAGTTGACTTTTTCACATGGCCTGCCACTAACCAGTGAAAAGTTCAGTAACACTTTATTTGAAGGGGGTAAATAAGACTGTCATGACACTTTCATAAACATGTCATAACACCTGTTATGAACATGAATAAGCCTTCATGAATATTTATGACTGTTGTCATAAAGCGTCATTCGGTAAATTATGACCCTTTTAATACAAAGTTGACATTATTCAAAATGTCTTTGTTATGACAACTTGACATTAACCAAGAAATCATTAATGTTTAAACTTTACCTTTAATAACATAAAGTTACCTAGTTTTTAAAGTGCAATAAGTAATACTTTTATAACAAATTTATATCAGTAATGATTTCTTGGTTAATGTCAAGTTGTCATAACAAAGACATTTTGAATAATGTCAACTTTGTATTAAAAGTGTCATAATTTACCAAATGACACTTTATGACAACAGTCATAAATGTTCATGAAGGCTTATTCATGTTCATGACAGGTGTTTATGACAGTGTCATGTCAGTCTTATTCACCCCCCTTCAAATAAAGTGTTACCAAAAGTTTAGTGTTGCATCACTTAGATAAGTAATAATTCACAAATACCATCTTTTTAAAAAACAAAACTGGAATAATGATGCATACTGCAGTGTGACTGCATGACTGGCTGAGATAATTTACATTTTTAAATTACACTTTTTATCTTAACTCTGTAGCTTTAAGTTATTCTGTTCACTGAATCAAAGAGTGCCAATCAAAAAACAAAGTAAGACAATACAAAGGACCAAACACATGAAAATTAGGATTTTCCTTCATTTTCTTTGGTTTTTATAATTCGTTTATCTCTTTCTGTGTGGTTTTGCTTGTCGGAAAATTAATTGGATGTTTCAGTTGTTATTTTTTCTCTGTATAAGATCATGATAAAAAACTATTCAAGATTCATTATGTGATTTTGCATGTACCAAATTTGGAAAGAAAAAATAATTTCCCAATTACAGAGAGAAATTAATTTGGCTTTGCCCAAATTAATTTCTGCATCCTAAGAAAAAAAAATCTCCCTTGTGGTCTAGAAAAAGAGACATATAATCCCTGTGGACCAGGATTATGTTGAATAGATAGAGGATTTCAGAAGGAGTCAACAGTGAGTGTGATGGAGGAGCCGTGACGAGCTGGGACTTTGTCCTACAGTAAAGTCCGTACAAGCACACCTGCATACATACACCCGACATAACTTACTCTTTGGTTTCAGCACAAACTGACGTGGTTCGTCGTGGGTGCACACGCGGTGTTTCTGCCTCAGCTGTCATATCCGTCCTAGCTTGTATAGCTTTTAATTTTCCGTATCAAACATTTTCCCAATTCAGATATTCAAAAAAAGCTACTTCCGGATTATAGCGCGCCGGGTGGGAGTCACGTGACGAGGTAGTGACGTCTTCAGGACGTTTTATTATTGAGGGTTGTGATTTTGGTCATGGGTTCATTTTTTGTTCAGGATTGTGGGCGGAGCCTGTGACTATAAAGAAAGGGCTCTGCACTGTCAAGCGTCAGTCTGAGTTTAGATTTCCAACAGGCCACACTGCATGTGATATGAAGGTACTGCTGTGTTTTGTCTGTTCTTTTTGTTTTTTTTTTTGTTTTTTTAAACCTGCCTGGCTGTCCATTGTGAATATGCTGCACAGCTTCTTCAACTTTTTTTCACCTGAAGATGAATAAACACCATCTAATGTGAGCTATGGTGTTGGCCTCTCTTTTTTGTCCAAGTCATATCAAAGCCCCACCGCCACAGTCAAGAAGTCAAATTTCACCAGTGAAGGCAATAGATTGCCAATATCGGATAGGATTTGATTTTAAGTTTGAGAAAGTGTGGATGCATGTGGCAGAAAAAGATTTATTTTAAAAATTATTGCTATATTCAGCATACTGATATTATTTATGATAACTGTCAAAATAAGAAACACTGAGAGCTGCAGTGATGCTATTAGTATGTGATTCCCAACAGAGGCAGAATGTTGAGACAGATTGTGCGCCTGGGAATGTTGCATAGCCCTTAAGCAAAGGCACACAATGAAAAAAAGCTTATTTTTTTAATTGTGTAACATTTTTCCCCCACAGCATTTATCTTGTCTACTACTCATGCTCAACTTAACTAAGGCCCTTGGGTAAAATGCACCAAATGAGCAACATTTCCTACTTATTGCAAAATGTTAACTTTATTTGAAAAATCATGCTAGTTCTCAGTAATCCTCAGCGAGTTAAGTAGAACAAAGAAAAGAGTCAGTGACCTGCTGTTTAATCAGCTGCACCACTCTGCTTGAACTGCATATCATAGATGTAGTGAATAAGAATCTACTCCCATAGTTTTAGATAGCTTAAGGATAAAAGCTTTGTTAGCTTTTAGCCTGTTTTATTAGTTATATCTGCACTGTGGAGTTTATGATGAAATATGAGACTTACTTTCATCAAAACTGTTATACCATCCATAGCACCTTTTGAAAACCTTTTTATGTATTCAGACATACATTGATTTAGTTTTGACTTTAACATTATGGAAAAATTATATAAGAATAAAAATTGGACTCCTACTCTGGCATAACATTAAAACAAAGTTTATTTTGTTTGAAAGTGACTAAATCACTTTCAAGAACAAGAGATTCAACATCAGTATCAAATTATTTCTTAAGAAGTAGCTGAATATTTAATGTTTACAAATGTTTTCACATGATTGATAAGTCCTAAAGGAACAAAAAAAAGACATTGGGCCAAAGCATGTAAAAGAAGCAATGTTGATATAAAGCAATACCTCCCACCCTGTAAAGGTGCCTAGTGAAGCAAATCAAAGAGACAAACTGGAAACCCTCTGGTAAAGTGGAATGAGCAGATAATTGAGATGTCACAACACAGCCTCTGAATAGACCACTCATATCCTCTTGCCCTGGGACACGACCTGAAAATTCCTCCTGAATGAGAAAATGAAGTTTCATCTTTTTCACTGAAAATAAAATATTCGTACATTTTGTGAACCAACTTAAAATGTTGAGTTTGATATGAAAAATAATTAGCAAACAGTACAAATTGATCAGCTCCTTTTAGAATGGAATTTATAAACCTAAAGTATTTTTTTTTCAAAACAAATTTTCTGTATTTGTTTTTTCTTGTTCAGTATCCATTACCAACTTCTGAGAATATATGGAAAGCAAACTTACATACTTAGAGACCGTCTACCATTTCATGCTGCATATTTTTTAAAATTATAATTTTTATGCACACATTGTGTGTTTTTTTCTTATCTTAATTACTACAACCTCTTGGTCACAATCAGCTGCAGCAACTATTAAGCTACATAATGTCATGATCTATAGTGGCTGAATGGTGAGGTAGGACACAGGCAGACCCAGGTTGAAGTGGTGATGATGGTGGTTTTAATGACTAATCCAACAGAACAGAACACAGGCAGCAAGACCTAACACGACGAGGATCTGACAAGAGACAAAGACAACAGGTGGGACTAAATACACTGGGAGGGTAATCAAAGAAACGAGACACATGTGGGAACAATCAACAGGGAAGACAGAGACTCAGGGGAACAGACTACTAAACACTGAAAAACCTCAAAATAAATACACAGAAAACACAGATCACCACACTTAAGATCATTTTCAAACAAGCAATTAATGGATAAGAAGCCTGTTATAAGTCATCCATGTTATATTTTAAAACATGATGAATTATTAAAACAGTCTCTTGTTTTTAATCTTAAACTATTTTAAAATGTTTACATGGTAAGGCTCCAAGTACCCTTTTGAATCTTTTAAAACTGCTGGTTCAGTAGCTCATGGAGATCTGTAGGGAACTGTAAGGTGCCTTTGTAGTAAACTTCTGAGTCAATCAGCATTATCTCTATAGATAACATTTAATTCCCTTCCTGTTGAACTCCGGCTGCCTTCAGTTTAGGTTAAAGCTGAATTTTATTTATTTATTTTTTTTAAGAAACATCTATGTAACTATGAATGGTTACCAAATCTATCTTCTTTATGGTATTGTAATTAATTTTTGATGAGTTTTAATGAGTTTTGTATTTATTGTTTTAATATGTAAATTTTAAACATTGCAGGTTTTGTGTAACAACAACTAGGGACAAACACAGCAAAATATAGCTGCATGACTTCAGGAAAGAATTTAATTAAAATACTATTGCTGACAGCTGTGACATGTTGATTATGATTAATGATTTATCCTCATTTTTCAGGTTTTTTCACCATTATACAGCTAGATTTTGAGGAACTATAGGACTTTAACTGAAACCAGGGCATTTTCTTGTTTCGGATTCTGACTTGACTTTTCAAGAACAAAGAGGTTTGTGTGAAAAAAAGGATGAAATGAAAACATCTTACGACCTCTGCTACATATAGTGGAGGATGTATGATGCTGTGGATCTCTAAAAGTTTTGTGAATCTTTGTAGCTGAGTATGTGGAATTACGAAATGTTTGTATTTTGGATATACTTTAGATAAAATATGGTAGAATAAAAAAATGTGCATTTCAGCAGGATAACGCTCCAAAGTCATATGACCAAATCAACACAGAATCCATCCTTTCTGGATGGGTGGATGAAACAAAAAGTTGGAAATAGAAATATTTTTTCAGAATTTGTAAATGTAAAAAAGTGTAAAAACTCGCCATTAAACAGAACCAGGTACAGAAAGAGTGTTTCACATAAAAATCCTCACTCAGATTTAAAGCAGGAAACATTTTGCTGTATAACAAAAACACAAGTCCCCTTATCACCATCGCACCTGGAATCAGATTTTATTACATACTGTACAAATGCTTCTTTTTGCCCTCCAGGAAGATAAATTGATGTTACTATTCAAAGCAACGTTTTCTGATTGTTAAGGAAGTGACTGGAATGAGAACATGTGCAGTTTTTATTTTTTGTCCTTTGTATGCATCTTTGTTTGGAGACACACAACAAGCATAACCCATTCATCATCCCTTATGATAAATGTTCAGCTAATTAATCAAACTTTTATTTTACATCAGGAGCAAAAAACGGGTCTCTGTTAAAATAGCCAAATCGCCCAGTGTCCCCAGTCTGCACTTTATGCCTCACACAGGAAAGTCTGCCTGAAATATTAAATTTTCTTATGCCTTGATTTCAGGACGTTTTTGGTTGCCTTTGTTGATAGGATTAGATTTATTTATTTTTTTACTCAGAAGCTAATATTGTTATTTAGAAATAGGACTGAGAATATAGTTTATTTTTAGTCTTTTCTATCCCATATCTCTGTCATGCCTTTTTTCAAATTATCTATTTGCAAAAGGCAAAAGCTTTAAGTGCAAAAATACTGCACATCCCAAAATGACTTTGAGTCACACTAGTGGACCCCCCACTGAGTGATGTAAAGTTTGGGGAGCAAAAAAAAACATGAATTCCATTTGAATTTAATTTTGCATCTCTGTCAGAGTGAATAAGAAAATCCATGAATCAAGACCAAAATATTTTTTACATTCAGTTGCTGTAACTCGCTTTAGACCTCTAAAAGACCTATTCATCTATTTTTATTTTTATTTTTTGTAGTGCAAATAGCATCACAGGTTATTATTTAATGAATTAAAGGTCAAAGGTTTGCATGTACAACCTATATTATATTTGATAAGAATATTATATTGCATAGCCTCATGCAAGAAAAACAAGATTATTTATAGAGCCTTGTAAAAGTATTTATACACTTTTGTTACAGACATAATCTTTGGTGCATCTTGGGAGGATTTTATGTGACAGACCAACTCAAAGTAGTGGACAATATGAAGTAGACAGAAACAGAAGCTTTTTTGTCCTTATCCCAACATCTGATTCACCTAAATAACATGCAGTACACCAAGCACCTTCATAAGTTATTATATTAGTACAAAATATATTCAGCTGTTAAAATGACTCAGTCAAAGTCCAGGCTTAAATTCATCTGAGAAACTGTGGTATTTCCTAACACATTTCTAGATGTCAATATAGTCAAATGGCTGATTGTGGCTATAATATAAAACACTTTGAGTTTTCAGTATGACAAAATGGGAGTTACAAGTATATGAATATTCTTGTAAGACAATATGTGCAGCTATTTGTTGAACTAAAACTTGTTTATGCTCATGCTAAGTATTCACTAATAAATTAAGAGCGATCAATTTGTAAATATTGTGCATTCATATTTCTGTTTCAAATATTCAAAAGAACAACCCCTTAAATGACCACTTTGTTGAAAAATATGATCAACTGCTCAAATTGGCCAAAGAGGTGCTTTAAGAGGGCTTTGTAAAGTAATTTCACTTGCAAAACAACGTCAATGTACACTGCTAATTCAGCTTTTCATAACACTC